CCCCCCCGCCCCCCCCCCCCAGCAAGATTTCCCATTTACAGTCAGTCACATTGCCCCACAGAATGGAGAAGAAGATCGATATGCAAAATGGTCGTCACCCAAAAAGCCCAACCTCAGAATCATTTATCCCCCAATTACCCATGGACACACACCCTTGTTGCCACGTGTCCATCTCTCTTACCACTCACAAGATCACCCCACTGGTTTCCCTATCTCCTTCCTTCTCTCCCCTTCTCACTCTGCTCTTCTCAGACTCATAATCCAAAATGAGAAGAGCTGCGGTGGTCTGTATATAATCTTCTCGTCATTTTCTGAATAATTTTCACTTCATTCTGTTTCTTTGTAGTGTTTATTTCTTGAAATTTCTTATCTCGTTGTACATCAAGAAACAGAGCAACCTATCCAACAATGGCTTCTTCTCTGGCATCTTCACCATTTTCAGTAAATAAGGCCAAAACAGACCGCCATTTCTCAATATCTTCAAAGCCGTACTTCCTGCACACGTTCCTCCCCAATTTCCAAACCCAAACCAGATCGTCCAAGAAACTCCGGTGTGTTGCGGCAGCACTGGGGAACGGGCTGTTCACTCAGACCACCCAGGAGGTACGGAGAATCGTGCCGGAAAATGCGCAGGGCCTCCCCACGGTGAAAGTAGTGTACGTTGTCCTGGAAGCGCAGTACCAGTCGTCCCTCACGGCCGCGGTTCGGACCCTGAATTCGACCGTGGATTTCGCGTCGTACGAGGTTGTGGGGTACTTGGTGGAGGAGCTCAGGGACGGGGACAACTACAAGTCCTTCTGCAGGGATCTGGAGGACGCGAACGTGTTTATCGGGTCTTTGATTTTCGTGGAGGAGCTGGCGCTGAAGGTCAAGGCGGCGGTGGAGAAGGAGAGGGAGAGGCTGGACGCGGTGTTGGTGTTCCCGTCGATGCCCGAATGTATGAGGCTAAACAAATTGGGGTCTTTCACCATGTCTCAGCTCGGCCAGTCGAGGAGCCCCTTCTTCCAGCTCTTCAAGAGGAAGAAGCCATCCTCGGCTGGTTTCGCGGACCAGATGCTGAAACTTGTGAGGACCCTCCCCAAAGTCCTCAAGTATTTGCCGAGCGACAAGGCTCAGGATGCCAGAATGTACATCCTGAGCCTCCAGTTCTGGCTCGGCGGGTCCCCCGACAACTTGGTCAACTTCTTGAAGATGATCTCCGGGTCCTACGTTCCCGCCTTGAGAGGGGCGAGAATCACGTACTCGGACCCAGTCCTCTACTTGGACAGCGGGATTTGGCACCCCTTGGCTCCGTGTATGTACGACGATGTGAAGGAGTATCTGAACTGGTACGGGACGAGACGGGACGCTAATGAGAAGCTGAAGAGCGATGATGCGCCGGTGGTAGGTTTGGTCCTGCAGAAGAGCCACATAGTGACGGGCGACGAGAGTCATTACGTGGGTGTGATCATGGAGCTGGAGGCGAGAGGGGCGAAAGTGATACCCATATTCGCCGGGGGTCTGGACTTCTCCGGCCCGGTGGAGAGGTTCTTGATTGACCCCGTGAGCAAGAAGCCGTTCGTGCACTCGGTGGTGTCGCTCACGGGTTTCGCCCTGGTGGGTGGGCCCGCGAGGCAGGACCACCCGAGGGCGGTCGAGGCATTGAGGAAGCTCGACGTGCCGTATATAGTGGCCCTGCCGTTGGTGTTTCAGACCACCGAGGAGTGGCTCAACAGCACGCTGGGGCTGCACCCTATTCAGGTCGCCCTGCAGGTTGCTCTCCCGGAGCTGGACGGCGGCATGGAACCCATTGTCTTCTCCGGTCGGGATCCCAAGACAGGCAAGTTCATGGACTTCTTAAATCTACTATGTCTGTTTTCCTTTTTATCTGTCATTTATAGTTTTGGTTGAGTTGATTGTTTGGCTTTGAATTACAGGGAAATCGCATGCTCTGCACAAGAGAGTGGAGCAGCTTTGCACTCGGGCGATCAGATGGGCAGACTTGAAAAGAAAATCAAAGGTTTCTTCGTTAATACTCCGTAATTGCAAACACTTTTCCTTCCCCAACCAATTGAAACCAAATTATATCACTTCTATTTCAATCTTACAGTAGTTGTATGTATCCATCTTAGCTTAGATTAACATAATGTGCACATTCTATTCATTTCGTTTTACTAAGCCCAAACATACCATTCAGAAACATGAGGTATTTTGACAATGTCTCCCTCAATAAGAATGTGTTTATAAGCTTTTGAAACATGAGCTCAAAAATATGATGCCAACCCATTGCACTTCAAGTATATATTGCTTTAGCTTTGTTTTGTTTTGTGTGTAGACGGAGAAGAAGGTGGCAATCACGGTGTTCAGTTTCCCACCAGACAAGGGGAATGTGGGAACAGCTGCGTATTTGAACGTCTTTGCGTCCATATACTCCGTTCTCAAAGACCTCAAGGAAGATGGTTACAAGGTGGAGGGCCTGCCCGAGACTTCGGAGGCCTTAATCGAGGACATAATACACGACAAAGAAGCTCAGTTCAACAGCCCCAATCTCAACGTAGCTTACAAGATGAGCGTGAGGGAGTACCAGAAGCTGACCCCCTACGCCGCCGCTCTCGAAGAGAACTGGGGAAAGCCCCCCGGCAATTTGAACTCCGATGGGGAGAGCCTCTTGGTGTACGGAAAGCAGTACGGGAATGTGTTCATCGGCGTTCAGCCCACGTTCGGTTACGAGGGTGACCCCATGAGGCTTCTCTTCTCCAAGTCGGCGAGCCCTCACCACGGGTTCGCCGCCTACTACTCCTTTGTGGAGAAGATTTTCGGGGCTGATGCGGTCCTTCACTTCGGCACTCATGGCTCCCTTGAGTTCATGCCAGGGAAGCAGGTGGGGATGAGCGACGCCTGCTTCCCTGACAGTCTCATTGGAAACATCCCGAACGTGTATTACTACGCGGCCAACAACCCGTCGGAGGCCACCATTGCCAAGCGGAGGAGCTATGCCAACACGATCAGCTACCTGACCCCGCCGGCTGAGAATGCCGGCCTGTACAAGGGACTCAAACAGCTCGGCGAGCTCATCTCGTCCTACCAGTCCCTCAAAGA